GGAACCTTCCTCTTGGGACAAGGCAGTGTTGCCAACCAGTCATCAAGCGATTGGAAAACGCTCACATTGGCCACAGAGTTTTGCATCACATGAGGGAAAGCCTACGTCAAGGCTGCTGATGGACAGACAACCAACAGAATCCAGTAATCTGCATAGCAGATGGAATGTTCTGCGGTTCCTCTAAAGCAAGATTCCTAACAATAAAACATTGGATGGGGTGCAAGAAAAGGAAATATTAAGTAATTTCTGGGTTTCTTACTTAATTGAATGGGGTATTACCTGCAGTAGACATTACAATTGTGTTTTTGTTTTTAAATGGACTTATATAAAGTGTTCCCCTGATAGGGTGTTCAGATTTAGCAAATAAAAAATACAGAATTCTGGGGCACCTGGGTGGCTCAGTCCATTAAGCGTCTCTTGATAAGGTCATGATCTCAGGATCATGAGACTGAGCTCCACTGTGGGTGTGGAGCCTGCTTGAGATTCTCTCTCCCTCTCCCTCTGCCTCTCCCCGCCCCACTCCCATGTGCACTCTCTCTGAAACAAACAGAATTCCTATTTAAATTGAATTTCAGATAAACAACAAAAATTTTTTTATATAAGTATGTCCTATATAACATATATCTCATACAGTATATAGGACATATTATACTAAAAATTATCATTCATTCTCTATCTGAAATTCCAATTTAACTGAGCATACTGTATTTTATCTGACAACCATCTTCCTGTAGTTTACTAAAAGTTGTATTTATTGACATGTAGAATTCAATTCAGGTTTCAATATGAAATCAGTGTTTTCTTCTCTTCTGTTTTCAAGTACTGAAATTTCTCGTCTAAGCTCTTTGCACTGGGCTTCTGTTTCTCTGCCCATCTTGCTTTTAGGTGCAGAATTAAAGATGTATTTTACTTTTATTTCTAACAAAGACAGGTTTTAGAAACCTAGTTCCACTTTGAGCTTCATATAAATGTATCTAAGTTTTCTCATTAGCTGCATCTAAATTTTCCCATTATTCTCTTATTTTTTTCCCTTTTAGGTCCCGATTTATGGTTTGTTAGCTTATAACTGTATCTTAAGGTCTTTCACTTCTGTTGTCCTAAGAGTAAGGATTAAATAAATATGTTTATATTTGTGTGCACACAAACATACACCAATAAATAATTAATATGGAAAACGTGGGTCATTTTAAAGAAATTTTATTCCCACAAGGGAACATAATATACTGCTTTCTATAGAAGTAGGGGAAATAAAGGACAGAAATAAACTAAAACATAAAGGTGACATTACTATTATTTTGAAGAAATACTCTTTTTGTATGAATTAGGTTCATAGCTCTGAAAGATTAAGAAAAAGTTATCTAGATCTTTGTTCTGCTTCCCTATGGAGATGGGTGGTGGGAAACCCAAAAGTCATACTCCGAGCAAACCAAACCTAACTTGCTTCTGTGATCTATCCCCAACTAGAATGATTCCAGAAAAAGAAAAATTACAGAACTAGGGATTTAAAAGTTTTTCCTTTATTTTTGGTGTTTTTATTTAAATATTAATTGGAATAAACTTGGTTTCGAAGAGGGGCCATCCTACAAAAAAACATATTGTACATTTGTAATATATGCTAGTTTGTTCCACACTATTATAGCATTTCTGTAGCTCTTCCAATGGAATTGAACAGAAAGTTGGACTTCAATCATGTAGAAAACTTGACCTTCTGGCTTAATCAAACCAAATCAAGTATACCTGAGATAGATGTTTTCTATTTATCTTCATTTAAATGTTTATAGCATAATTGATAATTTGCCAAAGAAACACAAAGGGCCACATAAGTTATTTCTATTTGGGGAAATCTATTCTGATACTATTTCTTACTACCTGAAATTCCTTACTCCTAGCAACCAGCCTCTTTTTGACAATGTCTCAGAAAAGCTAACTATTGCTTCAGACTGAAGGCACTGAGGCACAGGCCAGCATTAGGAATATTCCAGAAACTGCCGTAATAGGAGCAGGAAGGAAGCCCTGGGTCGCGCCAATGGTCTGGGGTCAGACTAAATGAAACAGCCTTAAAAGAACGGGAAGCCAAAGTACCTCTGATGAAAGGTGGTGACATTAAACATCCCTCTCTCCTTGTCTGATCTTGACCAGTGGCCCTCTTATGCCATTTTAGTTCTGACACCATAACCACTGAGAGGTCAGATGATTACACATTTTCCGGAGGAGGAATAATCATCTCGTAGCATAATGTCCCACGCGGAGGCGAGAGCTCCATAACAGAACGACCATTTTCTTTTTTTTTTTCTTTTATTTTTTTTTTAAGATTTTATTTATTTATTTGACAGAGAGAGACACAGCGAGAGAGGGAACACAAGCAGGGGGAGTGGGAGAGGGAGAAGCAGGCTTCCCGCGGAGCCAGGAGCCCGTTGCGGGGCTCGATCCCAGGACCCCGGGATCATGACCTGAGCGGAAGGCAGATGCTTAACAACTGAGCCACCCAGGTGCCCCCAGAACGACCATTTTCAATATCTTTGTATCAAAGTCTAAGAAACTCCCAGCATCTTACAAATATAAAACAGCAAATACTCAAAATCCATTCTGGCGCTCCAGGAAGAAGGTGATGATGCAAAGAAAGCAGAGGAAATAATTGAATGTTTTGACATTTTGAGAATGTACAAATGACATCTTTTGCAGAAGACCTGTTGCTGGCAATTGCATAAATCAACAAATAGATTTTATCCTTCACTGAAAATAATGGTTAATTGGCCAATAGGTTACATTTTTTTTTTTCTGTAGACTTAGCGGTCAATTTGCTTTTGTTGGCATTTTTACAGAGTAAGTCAAGGAGACAAATGTATTTATTTATCTGAAATTTTCACTCTCAGCTGCTTCCAAAAAAAGATGTGATTAGATCCTTATAATTAAGTTACAATCGAACCACATGTCGAACAGAATTTTTTTCATTAGTTGGAAAGAGAGATAAGAACTTACAGGATGTGTAAGATGAGCTGATTCTTCTCATCTCCTTAGGTAGGATGGTTATTACATTTGAGCATTAGATTTAACTCTGGGTTCCAAAGAAAACTGAGAAACCTGATAGGTTACATACCTTTCCCTCTTTTCATTAAATGAAGTATCAGGTCTTCACAACGTGCATTGAGGTACGGTTAGTATTTATGCCATGCCTGTGTGGGATTGCTTAAACATCTAGAGAATTGGGTGTCCAGATTTCTGCAGGTATTTCCTATAAATGGGCTAGTTTTCAACTATTACCATTTTATAGGATCCCAGTTTTTAAGGTAATTAACACACAGTATGTGGTTTATTTTTAATATTTCACTTTTATTGGGCATTTTTCAGATACAAACTAACATTAACATGAGCAAAATTGTTCTGTTTTGGCTTACTAGGGCCAGTATATGTTGACCACCCTCCTCCCCACCATTATTTTTAAGCTTGTTTTTACTACTTTTTAAAAAACTGATACCGTATGATGATAATAATAAAAGGAAATAAGGAAAGGGAATCAATCTGTGTTTTGCTTTTCATTATCTAAATGGTCATTTGGATCACAACAGAGACAGTCCAATCTGCATACCATTTGTGATCATAAAAGTTGCTCAGTAAATCGGGGTTGGGGGAAAGCACGGCTTTGTTGATACATGAGTCATTCAATTAACGAACAGTTTGAGCTGCTTCTTCATGCCCAACATTGCTGGCACTAGCATAATAAATAGATACCTGCTCAGAGAAGGTCTCTGTGGGAGAACAGTCCCCAAAGAGTTATGCCTTTATACACTAGAATCTGATTCATAATACAGGTAAAGACATTATTTTTAAATTTAGGGCTAATGAGCTCTTCCATAAGCGGCCCAAGGTGATCTCTCAAAACAGTTCGCTTTTCACTTGACCCAGAAAACCCTACAAGATCATGCAAATCAAGAGGTTCAAATCTCCATGGTCACTTTAAGAACACACGTGAAACTGCCCAGGCCATCAAGGGTATGCAGATCCGAAAAGCTACCGGTGTCTAAAGGACGTCCCTCTGCAGAAGCAGTATGTGACGTTCCGTGGCCACACTGGTGGAGGTGGTGGGTGTGCACGGGCCAAACAGTGGGGCCAGACACAGGGTCGATGAGCCAAAAAGAGGGCTGAATTTTTACTGCACATGCTTAATAATGCGGACAGTAATGCTGAACTGAAGGGTTTAGATGTAGATTCTCTGGTCATTGAGCACATCCAGGTGAACAAAGCCCCCAGACGCAGCGTGGAACTTACAGGGCTTATGGCCAGTGGCCAGATTAACCCAGACGTGAGCCCTCCTGCCACGTCGAGATGATCCTTATTGAAAAAGAGCAGACTGTTCCTAAACCGGAAGAGGAGGTTGCACAGAAGTAAAAGATACCCCAGAAGAAACCGAAGAAACAAAAACTTATGGCCCGGGAGTAAATTCTGCATAGAGTAAATGCAAATAAAAGTAAAAACAGAAAAAAAAAAAAATGTAGGACTCATGAAGGCTTGTTGATTCCTTTTTAACCACATAAAGAAGGTACACAAAGCAGAATTATTTTTGTACTAAGCAAAAGTATTTATCTTGAAGAATTTAATTTCTGTCTATATTCTCTCTGTCCCTCTCTCCCTCCCCCCCCCCCCCCCCCCCCCCCCCCCCCCCCCCCCCCCCCCCCCCCCCACCCTGCCACTTTTCCCCATTCTCCAGCTATGGCCGGGACACAGAAATCCCTAAGGATGGCTCAATCTTAGATCTCGTAAAGCAGCTATTTGCCATACAGTTTACCTTCTCTGTGCCTCAGACTCCTCAGCCGTCAAATAAGGAAGTGTTCTTAGAATAATTAACATAATTCCAATGAAATTATTTGGGCTCCTTGAATAAAACTACAGCATATTTTGTCAGGCAACTAATTAATATTAATGCAATCATCTGAATATCATGCCACCCATAAGTGGTGGCAGGTTATATTTTCGAAGTTCAAATATTGTTTTCTTTATTACAGGTTTCTTTTCTCCATGGAAAACTCCAAAGCCTGTAAGTTGGAATTATTATGCTTCCTTCTTTATTTTTGGTTACTATTGCAATCCCATTAAATAAGAGTTAATTGGGTGACCGCAAAATCTCTTTTACCTCTGAGATTCTGTGATGTCAAAAGGACAAATCCTGAGTCCCTTTGTCTTGTACTACAAAAATAACATGTCTTACTTTCCTGTAAAGGCAGTTCTTCCTGTTTTTTAATAAACTTAGAAAATGGGCATTAACACTATTCAATATGGTGTACTATAGAAACCTTTTGTTTTTCCCCTGTCAGGAATAACTATAGTCTTTTAATATGGAATTTTTAGACACAGTGCAAATGATAGGCCTAGAGGTCTTGAGCTACAAATTAAGTCTGGTGCATAAGAAATTTAACTTTGTATATATTTATATGGCTATATTTACATTTGAATATATATGCCAAATATGTGTGTGCAAATATTGCAGAGACATACATATTCCACCAAACCTGGCAATCACTCAACTTCTGCATCTCCTTCAGAAGCTGGTGATCTCCGTCCGCCATCACCTAATCTCTCTGGGCCTACTTCCCTCGTGAATCATCCTGAAATGTTGATGCCGATATAGGAGGCTGATGGATTTTAATACTCTTTTGTGTGGCTGGGTTAGCCAAGGCAGCTTCACAATTAGAAGTAGTTTTTCCTTGCCGTTAGTTTGAAACTAGTAACTGGCCAAGTCCCCAGAACTGGCACTGGTTTTCTGGGATACCGTTTCATGGAGGGCTAGAATACTGTGCCCTGCCTGGGATGTCTAAAACTCACAACTAAAAGAGAACTATAGCAAAGTGATGCAAGTCAAAAACAAAACTCGGGGAATCACTTCTCCCACTATCTTCTTTTCTTCCCTCTCAATTGAGCAACTCAGATGAAAGTGGCCCCAAGTCTGGCCAGTGAGTAGGGAGTTCTTGGCTTAACTTATGCAATTCTCCTATTTCTTTCACTGAAAAACTATTTAACTGCTTGATTTTCTCCTTTTACAAAGGGAGGTAATATAATTTTGCGTGCTTTTCAAGCACAATAACTGGCTTAATTAAATAATAAGCCTTGAAATGGTTTGAAGATGTGAAAGTGAAGTATTATTGAGCCCGGTCATATGCCCGAGCTCTGGGTTTCTCTCAAAGAGACGTAAGGAAACCGGGAGCTGGAGATGAGGGACTGATCTCTCAGAGCTGCAGAACCTCCTCACCAGGCATGTCGTCCTTTGGGATTGGTCTCATCTGGTCCACAGAGAATATCAGATGGGGAAACTGGGCCTATTTAGGTTTAGTAAAACATTTAGTGATGTGTGTGGTTTGAAAAGAGGTGGTTTTAAAATGTTTAAAATGAAATTTGTTTTATCTTGGCCAACATTTAAAGAGGTAAATATTTAAATAATTTCTTCCTTTCATCACCAAAGTTAATCTGTGCTCTGTGGTTATACACATCTTTATCTAATTTAACAAGGAACCTTGCAACTTCATCATGGTGCTACAATTATGCTATTTAGTGATTTCCTTATGTGTACCACATTTACACAAATTATGCCATTTGGCATAATTACAGCATTTTCTGTCATTTTAGTAATTACATCCATAGTCAATAATTCCAAAAAAAGGTTTTATGGAACTTAATTTACAATTAATCCTGAACCTACACATCCCTACAAAAACTAAGGCTTGGACTTCCAGGTTCTAGACTGAGTGAGGATATAGGACTGTCGATTTAATGTCCTCCTGTATCCACCAGAAGCTCTTTAGACTAAGAACTGTAATGAGAAGCAGTATGATACATGTTCTGGGGCGCAGGCTCTGAAGGCATACTGCCTGGGTTCAAACTTTGCTTCTTCTCCTTAGTAGCTATTTGACCTTCAACTAGCCACTTAAGTTGTCAGTATCTCCAGTTCTTACCTGTAAAATGGGAGCAATAATAGTACCCCACTCATATAGTCATCATGAAGAGTCTCAGTCCATGTAAGTTGCTTAAAACAGTACCTCTAAAATATATTGAGCTCAAAAATATAAAGTACTCTCATCCTAGAGAGCAAACACTCCATACATGAAACCTTAATAAATTAATGACTCTATAAAATGAACATAGTTTGCTGAAGTATTCATCTAAACAAATATATAAATATATACCCACAGTATATGGATTTATAGACTCTCTCCTCTCAGGATTGATGACATCTGTAGTCAGGATAAGGAAATGTTATCCTGAGTGAGATCTCTCCTCCTCCTGGTCCTGTGTCACTTCCTAACCCTCTTCTGTCTTACTGATCTACATCTTAAGCTAATCCATGTTGAGATAGTCATTTTGTAACAAGTAATATACCCCTAATTGTAGTGAGTTCTCATGCTCTCCATCTGAAAGGAATCCAAGTTCATTCTTCAAGTACAGAATCAAATCAAATGGCTTCATATCCCAGCCCTGCCCTAAATTAGTGACGGGGTACATTTAGACTACCCCAGCTTCTATAGGAAGCAAACAGTTTCTCAATAGAGTACTTCGTGGGAGGTGGGGTGCTACCTCATTCACAAGCCCTCTACTCACAGTGTGCTCCCGCGATTAGAAGGTAGTTACATCATGATTCAGTTTTCCTGTTTTACCGTTTGAGGCCATGTTGTGGACTACATGTCCACTCTGTCCACTGATAATTCAGTGACTGACTCTACCTTCATGCAGTCAGGCATTCATTCATTCACCAAATCCAGCAGAGATACAAGGTTTCTCCCAGATACTGAAAACAACCTCATTTCCATTTTTACTTACCCTAGTGAGATGCCTGGGTTTGAACACCACTGGGACTGTACAAGGCCCATTCAGAAGCCTATGAGAGGTAAATGTCTGGCAGAAGCACAACTCTGGACAAGCCAAGGTCAGGAAAACACTAGGTGAAACAAGTGAGGTCCAAGGGCCTGGGCAACGAGACAGGATCAGAATCTAGGGCATTCAAGAAGGTTGAGAGGAACAAGTGAGCAGAGTGTCCCAGCTGGAAAGCAGAAGTCCAGAGACCACGTTGTCTAAGAAAGTAAGAAGTCAACAGAGTGCACCCCTCAAAAGATGCTGTCAGATCAGCACACCAGTCCCAGTGAGCAGAGGGGGACCTCTGACCCCCGGGCAGGCAGTTTGCGCCATGGTCTTTGGGGTCGAAGCCAACAAAGAACTCAATCTGGGGGTGGGGAGCTATAGGACTGCAAGTCTGCTTCTTCAGTTATTTCATGGGCGCAGTGATTTTCTGCTCTACAGTCTTTTAAGAAAGCCTGACAGAGTGACTCAAGGGTTGATGAATGTCACGGCAAGATGTTGTGAATGCTTTACTAAGCATAAACTGGACTACTGACTAATTCCCCTGTTTCTGTGCTATAGAAATTGTAGAACTTGTCACTCTGCCCCTGTAACCTTCCCAACAATGCCTAAAGCATTATTTGTTCTGTAGTTTTAAGAATGTTTTTTAGAAATACTAATATTTCACCTGAAGCACGTTTGCTCCAACGATTGCACATGAACAATACATACACCAGCAAGACCCTGTGAGTATCAGCTCACCCTCAGTAGAAAATGAGAGACAGAAATAGACATTTGCTGAGGCCCTCTGATGAAGAGTGGGATTCTACAGCTACTCAGTCCACATATCTAACTTATTTACTGTGTAGAATTTAGTATCTTACATTTAGAAACGGAAGGGAGAAAGTCACAGCCACAGTGCATCCACATGGTGCCTAAAGCCAGTAACTTTGAAAAATTAAAAAAGAATACGACTTTAGCCACAAATGTGGGTCTTCTCATCATAGCAAAGACACAGAGAATAGATGACCAGAGAAACCCAGAATGGCTTCCTAGATGAATTTTGCTATCAAATGAATTATGAAGTGCAGATTTTTACTAAATGGGAGCAAAAGGCCCACTAAGCAGAACATTAGCGAAAATTCTAAGCAAATTTGCCAGTTATTCCCCTCAATGTATTATTGTAAAAAGCAGTCCCATTAGAGTTACAAATTGGGTTGACCCGGGGTCTGCTGCTGACAGCTGCTGGACCTCTTTGCACTTTCGAGATTATGTTTAATATTAGGGAATTGAGCTCAACTAGGGATTTTCCATCCTCATTAGGTATAGAAACTTTGTTCAAATGAAATCTTGGTCGGTAGCCCATTACAGAAAACAAATGAAAATGCAGCCAATTGTCTTAGTGCCTTCAGACTGCGGTACCATAGACTGGGTGGCTTCTAAACAATAGCAATTTATTCCTCAGAGTTCTCGAGGCTGGAAGTCCAAGGTCAAGGCGCTGGCGGTTTCAGTGTCTGGTGAGAGTCCACTTCCTAGATGTCCATCTTTTCTTTGTAATGTCACCTGGCAGAAGGGTCTTCAGGACTCTGAGTCTCCTTTAATAAAGGCACTCATCCCATTCATGCGGCCTCCACCCTCGTGACCTAATCGCCCCCCCGCAAAGGTCCCACCTCCTAGTACCATCACCTTGGGCGTTAGAATTTTAACATATAAATTTGGGAGGGGACCCAAACATTCAGACCATAGTATCAATCTTACTGAGATACAGGTCAGTGACCCATTTCTTTCATAGTTTGCTGGCTCATTCGACACCTGCCACAGCCCCAGGTAGGTGAGCAAGTCACAGGGAACTTTGTTTTACGAAGTGACATGCACACTACATGTTATCTCACATTCCCTCAACTTTAAAATATTTATAACTGATACGCCAGAGCTGGTGTAGGAGACCTAACCGAGGTATAGCCAGCATGGAAACAAAAGCAGGGCAGGTCAGTAGGGGACAGAAAGTTATAATCCTGCCAAGCTCAAAACAGTGTGTATCAAAGCTAGTTTGTTTGTTTTTTAAAAAAGAACAGTTATGAGTCAGCTAGATTGGGGGAAAAAAAAGAAAAACAGCTGACCATGGATGATTTCATTCATTCACTAAATTAACATTTTCTGAGCTTACCATGTGTTGGTAATACAACAATGAGGAAGACTCTGTCCCCAGGATCTGTCCCCAACGCGCGCTATTTGAGGAGACATAGGTAGACTTGCCATTATCCTGAAGTCTCCTGAGCGTTGGGTGTGAGGGGTGGGTAGAGGTGCTGTGGGAGCATCCATCACCAGTTCAGGAATGGTCAGCAAAGGCCTTCCAGAGGAGACATCTTCTCTGAGTCTAGTAGCCCCCAGGTAAAAGGAGGAAGGGAGGTGAAAAAGTGGAAAATGGATAAAGTTTGCAGGTAGGAGGAGAAATGAAGAAAGCACGCAAAGGTTCAGAGGTAGGAGAGAATCAACGGATCCTGGGGAATGAGAGGAGAGACCATCAGTGAGTATGAGGACAGTGAGCAAAACTGGGTCATGAGGAGCCACTAATGCCCCAGCGGGGAGTTTAGCCTTTAGCCTGAAGACCATGCTGACCCAAGGCAGAATTTTAGACAAAAGGATAACCTGATCTAAGTTCTACACAGAGCAGGTTTATTCAAAGCAGAAAAGTACAAGTTGAGTTTGAATCAGTTGACTATTGAATGAAGGTGAAGTTGGTGGTACGAACAGGTCATCCCAGTTAACCCGGCTTTCTACGTGACAAAAGGATATTAGTCCTTGCCTTATCTACCTCACGGGGCCATGGTGCAGGTCAAAGAAGGTACAGTGTGTGAGAAAACATGGTAAACTGGGAAGTGTTCTAGAGATCTTTAATAAACTGTAGTGGTAGCAGCCTCAGCAGTAGCATTTTGGGGAAGAAACTGCCAGATCGGCAGAAAATGAGGCTTCACAGAAGAATGAACAATTCATAAATCCCAGATGGTTGCATGATTACTTCAAACTGTAAGGAAAGTGACCAAATGTTTAGGTATAGGAGATTATTAGGATATGTGTAGGTGTCAAAAGAATACGTGGAGACCACTTTATTCTCTTCTGTTTTAGTAAAGATGGGGTAATGTATCAGGGCCAGTTCCACACATTTCTATACACTTACGTGTAAAGCTATCTTGAGACCCATGTCATCTTTCTCGTGTAGGAGGAAAAAACGCTCAGAGAGATTAAGTGATTAGCTGGAGATTACTAGCAATATGTGACAAGGTTATATATGTTTGCATTCAAAAGTCAGGCACCACTCGTGTTGAGTACCATCTATGGTACTTTAATATAGAGATGCAGAATCTTTTCTCACACTTATTCCCAAGTTGTAAATGGTTCATGGAAGAAACGTCCACAGGGCAAGAAGGTCTAACTAAGGAAAGTCCACAGGGCAGGAGAGTCTAATTTAAAGGGGGAGGATTGTGGTATGTGACAAGGAAGGATTCAGCATCTTGTGTTCTCTTTCGCTTTCCAGATAATGGACCGCTGGGAGAATCAAGGCAGTCCTCAAACGAGTTTATCTGCTCCGGCCATACCACAGAACCTGCCCTTCCCACCCGCCCTTCACAGGACTTCCTTTCCTGACTCAGAGGCCTTTGACCCAAGGAAGCCTGACCCATACGAGCTCTACGAGAAATCTAGAGCGATTTATGAAAGTAGGCGTAAGTGAAAGCCACATAAAACACGGGTACATTGATAATAGCTGAAGCCCTGCCAAGAGATATATTGAAGCTGAGATGATCTGGCGTGATTTTATATTCTGAGGTTCAGAAAGTATCTCAAAAGTAGAGCCAGCCGATCTAAACTTTTCTTTAAAAAAAAAAAAAAGCCTGTCAATTCAAAAAAAAAAAAAAAAACCACAAACCTTATATCTTTTGGTTTTATATTTTATTTCCTACTGTTTTCCCTCAAAGCCTCCGAGGAAAATCAGGAATGTATTTGGTGGGAAGGACGGGGGGTGGGGGGGGTGGCAGAAGAGGTGGATAGTTTTGTTTAAGTCACCAAATAATAAGATAAATGTTTGGGATGTTTGTGTGCAATCTGATCTTGAGTCTGCAGCTTAGATTTTTTTCTTGAATGCAATCATTGAAGAATTTAGGGCCATGAGTAAACGTTAAGAGAGTCCTTCCAACTCACAATCATGAAAGTAATGGTTCTGAAACCAGCAGAGAGCCAGGTGCCAATCATTTCTACCCAAAACTTCTGCTTCTCATTTAACACAGTGGGGCCCCTTTAATGCGGTGGGGCCCATTCAGTCATAAAACAAAATAGCGTGTATGCACTTGTCATCCTATTTGAAGGTCCCCTAAAGTTATTTCATTGCACTTTATAAATATTAGAAAACAAAGGTTTTGAATATTGCATATATGTTCCTCGTGCCTCTTTGCACCATCTGACAGGTCGTCTCTTCCAAATGTTAGAGGCCAGGAATCTGAATGGCATGAATGTATAATCTATGAGAGAAATGCACAGTATAATATGAACCTAAATAAACGGATCAAGAAACCTAGTCCAGTGAGAAGTGTTTGGTCCCCCACACTCCCTTTTACAGTCTGCTGACTTCCTTTGTCTCTGTGTTCCTCCAATGTCTTCTCTCCATCTTTATCATCTGAAACATGAATAGCAAGTCTTAAACTGTGTGTGACCACAGAGGATCTGAAATCTGTTTATTCTTTATGAGCTCAGGGGCTGAGAATTATGCACCCAACTGGTAAGGGGAAGAGGAGACAAAATACTTTTTCCCCATCCTCTATAACCCTCTGTAAAAGCAATCTTCATTGATAAAATAGTTAGGACAGCAGGGCAGGCATTGAGAAATCATTTTCATCAAAATGAACCCCCCCCCACACACACACCTCTTTATTTTAAATAATCAGCTCTGACAGGGCTACTATACTTCATCATTTCCCTTCTGGATGAGCAACTGAAATGTCTTTAAAGGATTGTGAGGTTAGAATATCTTTGCTGTGTTAGAGTAAGAACAAAGTAGTATGTTTAGCTGTATAATATAGGGTGTAAATTCAGGGTGCTGATGCTCAGTAAATAAAAAAAATGAAAGATTTGAACACAGTTCTTAATACCTTTTCTGTTTCAATATCCAAGTATCTATGGAATACCCACTTAACTCTCAGTACCGTGGAGAGATACCAGAGATGAGTAATATGTCTTATTCTCACAAATTTAACTGGGCAAATGAGAATAAGTATTAACAGGTGTAGATATCGAGTTACAGTAGAAGTTCTAACTTGGAGGATGGAAGTGCATTGCAGGATGAAAATATCGTCATGTCCTTGGCTTGTTTAAACTTTTGATTACTTTTAGGGAGCTTCAGGAGATGCTTCCTCTTGTTTCTGTCCCTTCGTTAATCATTGGCTCCCATTCTTTTGTAGTTTCCTGACCAATGCGAGGCTTTATTATTCCGGACAAAGGCAATGTTGGCCTTTATTCCATCTTCCCTTCATGGTGTCTGATACTGTGCTGCCCTCAGTTTCTGAGCAGGAATTGCGCATGACCTTCTTTTCAACCCTAAAAGAATTCTGATTTCTTTATCCAGCCCCTGCAATGCTGTTTCTGTTCATTGCCTTTCCACCGCTCACCTGTAACAATCCAAGCAAACCAATCCACCTTAACCTCCCCTACCTTTCTTTTTCAGTCCTCCCCTGGGAGCTCTTTATCCCCTCTGCTTCCGCAGCCACACCAACACCCAACAGCCTGACTCCCCCGCCCCGGCCCCCTCCGCCCCATCCGTGCTCCACAGATGCCACCGCTGCCTCTGCTCTAATGGGGTCCCCCCTTCGTGTTTTTGTCGCCTCTTTAATGTTTCTGAGGTCACAGCAGTGTTTTCAGGGTCACAAGTCTTAGGAAGCCAAAAGAGGGCAAGCTCATTTTCTTTCCCATCCTTTGCTTTTCTATCATGTTATTTCATAAAACTAAATGGATTGTGAAAGAAACAGGGAAATCATGTCAGGGGAGGCAAAACTCTACCCTGAAGATTAAGGAAACCAAACAAGCACAGGGCTACTTTCTCAGGTCCCTGGATAGCTGATCAGTTCATTCTGCTTGTGGACTTGCAAGTGTCTAGAAAAAACAAAGCAGCCCTTTGCCCTCTCTACATTCCCTGTTTCCAATTACGAAAAAGTTTCATTCTCTCACTTACATGTTGGGAATGCCAGAAAATCTTTTCTTTTTTTTTTTTTTAATGAATTGGGGGAAAGCTCAGTGTATTTCCCATCATCTCCCAATAGCTTTTCTTTAACGATCATGAACTATGTGCATCCATACAAAGAAACCATATTCAAAATTTTGATGTGAACCATGCCTTATTCCTTTGAATCACATGCATAACATTTAGGTTTCACTCTGTTTATCCTTGTGTCCCCGAAAGCTTTTTCCTGGGAGAAAAATCCATGGGGACCAGGGAAAGTATGGAAGGGAATCCCAACCAGAGCTTGGCTAAACCAAGCTCTTTGACATTTTCCCTGGCCTATAGCAATTTCATGGTATCTTCCCTTCCAACCGGGTCTAAAGCTAAAGAGATATTTTGCATTCTCATTCAAACTGGGTTGCAGTAACCGAAAAAGAAAGGATGTACCTCCACCCACATGCTTCTGCTGCACAGAGTTCCAGAATGTTTGTTATATCAAGGCTGTCAAGAAGTATTTGGATTCAAGTCACCAGTCCCCTGCAGATGATGGAAATTTATCAAATGATGTAAATGCTGCTGTGCCTCATTTGGCTCATAATTAGATTATACTGACATTTTAATGTGCATGCATGGGACATCTTAATAAAGATGTATTCCTGAAAAAAAATGGAGTGATTTTAAACAAAGACAACCGTAGGAGACTAGAGCCCGCATGAAACAGAACACGATGGGCGCATGCCTATGAGAGAAGAGCTGGAAATGCCTCCCATCTTCATGAGAGCTCAGGATGAGATGGAACCGAAGAAAGCGAGAACGAAGTTTCTTCCGGCAGGCAGGGCGGTGTTTCCAATTTCAGAGCGGCACACAGAGTATCTAGAGGTAGTGCCTCCGGGCTCCACATCGATCAACAAGAATGTCTGAAACATGCAACACGTGTCTAGGGCTCTGCTGGGCACTCCACGAGGAAAAAAAAAAATCACGAGAAATAAATCCCACTTGCACAAAACTTCCACCGAAATGAAGGACACAAAAACCGAGGAAGACAATTCCCGAATGAGACTGCAAGACACAACCCAGCAGATCATATCAGCATTTCAACCAGCGAAATTGTGCAGTAACTGTAGACAACAGTTCCAGTGTAATTAGACAATTAGACCAATGGTTTCTCATTCCATGGGCAAAATTGATGTTTAATCAGGAGAATGTCATGTGTTCAATATCTTCTAATTATCAAAAATCTCATTAGTCCTTACTGGAAAATGCTGTGCGGAAAGAAATTTGTTTTTTCTAACTTACTTCCACATAAGCTTAAAGCGTCTATATCTGAAAGAAACATGCCCCCCAAAATCCCAAAAAAGGTTTTGACCGATGGGCTTTTTTGGGTTTCCATGTTAATAATTTAAGCATTGGCCCTCTGGCATTACCAGCAATTCCCAGAAAAAGGCAAAAATCTTTGTGATAAAGATCACTTTTCTCATTGTGTAATAATAACCTCTGTTGATAACTGACTTCTTGCTTGTCCCCATTACTTGTGTTTTTTTAAGTTGAAAGCAAGGAAAATACGCACCTTTGCACAGTAGGATAAGCCAGGCTATTTTTTACTTCTCCCTTCTCTGTCCTTTTCTCCGGACTCTCAGGAAAGAAGGACTAATTTTCTTTCCAATCACAAGAGGAAGGGCTTACATTTTCTCATTTTGTAGGCTAATCTTGAAAAAGAAGCTATTGTTTACCATTTCTAACCTTGAAAAAGAAACTGCTTCTAAAGGCCCTCGCTGCCTCTCTTCCCTCCCATCTTCTCCTGCCATTTTCCCGATCCGTGATGGTGTCACGTATTTCTGATATGAGAAGAAAGAGTTTCGTAACAACCTACATCCCCATGGGGTGACGTAGGTGGACGACATTTACCAGTTTGCCTGGGACAGTCCTGCTCTGTGTCACCCTGGCATAATTACTAATAGCCTCCCTTTCACTCTCTAGTTTGTCCTCAGTTGAATGATGAATTATATGGTTTCCCTTTACTATATAATCTATTAAAGAAATAACATCATTGCTGTCCAAGAAAAGCATATATCTAAATGTACAGATCATGAATAAAAATTTTCATACCTACTCCGATAAATAATTTCCTTCAAGTTAATTTATTTGGCTGACTATTTTTCCCATACATGCTTTATTCCTAATTTGAGGTATAGACACATGTGGTGGCTTGTCTCGGTAGCCAGACTCCCAGCAAACTCCCTCCATACTCAGAAAATTGTGCATATGTATAAATCTAGAGCATGGCAAACGAAGTCCAAAAAATAGGCAGCAAGGCTTCACTCATTTAAGGATTATGCCATGGAGTTTTCGTTCTTCTCACCGACAGTAAATCAGATTCCACATCGCAATAATCGCAGGCCCAAAAGGGAGGTAATTTTGTCTGTCTTCCTGCCTCTAGGAAGGATTATACTTACATAACTTCGGAACAATGGCTGTCGTGACTCCTCCTCTGGATGCCAAGCAAGGCAATAAAAGTTCTTCCCAAAGAAAATGGAATCACTTTAGAATCTTACAAAATAAAGTTCTGATCATGCTAAAGAACTTGGCGATCTAGGAATGAGGGCGCTGTCCTGTTGCTTCGCTTTGCTTTAAGCCAGACTTACTGTTAAGGTTTGTCTCATCATCCTCGGTTCATGGGGCCATTTCTTGAGCATACTCCTCACTGCAGCCTCAGAAGCCAGAGCAACAAACAGATGAAAACAGGAAGAGACAAGAGAAGAAAAATCCGTGTTCTCTGAAACCCTTCCCTCGTGATTCTGTCCCTTGGTGTGAACCCAGGTTGAATTATGATTGAAGTTGTCCACACTTTTTTTCTCTTCACATTGAACCTTGCTTATTATAAATAAGCAATTTATGAGGTGCAACGTGTCTATGCTCCCTTGCAGTAAGACATCACTCAAATGTAGGATTATAAAAGTGTCAGGGATCCGTGTGGTGTAATGTGCCGTATGGTGGATGGAACCTCTTTAGAACACAAATTCCTCTGGAATTTCTTCAAAAAGCTCACGTGATCAATTTTCCTTTCCAGAAATTAAGAAGAAATAACCCATATTAAGCAATGAGTATTGCCACGAAGGTAGCAATCAGAAGTAACCCCAGGCCAGTTGAAGCATAATGGAGGAGCAAGGTGGTTTTTAGTACTATACTTGACAAGAAATTATACTTCATAACTGTTCAAAAACAGAATCAAAAACATCTATGGCTTTTATCCTACGGTTTGTTGTCCATTGCTCATGGCAAAATCCTTTCGTTGTTAAGTATTACAATGCACATATAACTTACGGCTAATCACAAATGGGTGGTTGTATTTCTAAAGTAGTAGTTTTTCTGCAGCTTTTTCCGTGTCATCGGTGAGCAAGGGCTGTAGTTGGCACTGTCCCTCATCCTAACACGAGAATCACTTGGAAAGACGGAGGTAGTGTAAAAATATGAGCCACCCAGCGCAGGACTTGAGACTCTAAATGGAAACTGACGGTGGGAGCCACATCACACAAGGTGGATATGCAACATCCAGAGCTTGGAAGCCTGTTGCAAGTGCTTCTGCTTGAGCCTTTCAGGCTCCAGTCTCCCTTGTCAATGTGATTAAACGTCTGATACAGTCAAGCTGGAAATGTCAATAGGTTTAAGAAAGGTTCTGACGCATCATGGATGCCATAGCCATAGACAGCTCTTAAGCGATCATGGAAGGCCACCTTGCCTTCCGAGAGAACCCGCACATCTGAGCGCTGCTAGACCAAGCCCTGGCCTCATTCGCTTGGACGTTGCTGTTGCCCAGTGGCTTTAATGTTCTTTACAAACGTTCTCTGGTGCACTATCTTATTTTAGTGAAATATTAAAAGAAGATGATACATAAATGTTAAGACACTTTTGTCAATGACTTTAGCATTAGAATCATAAAAGGCTAGAAAGAAATTTAATAACATTATCATTTAAAATGTCCTCGACGATGCTATGAAGGTTAATTTCCTGTACCTTTTTCCCATGGGAAAGCCATTATTGCTGGCCTTCACATAATTTATGTTATGGTTTAATCTGTGGGAAAAAATTGCCTTTCAGCCAGAGTTCTAGTACAGCACATTATGCGTCACTTTCCAGTTATAATATATTGATCAAGGAGATCAGTCATTCCAGTGAAGCTGTGTTTGCCATTTTTAATATGTGCATTTTAATTGGGAAATCTAATTTCAAAAATAGTACTTTTGGGTAGCTTTGTAAACAATTATGGTAATATTTATATTTCTAACAGGTCCCTTTTAATAAAGAAAGTTACCATGACATGAGCTAAGAAATAAAGATAGTGAAATAAATAGGTTGGGGACACATTTTTCCCATGTATTTTAGAAATGAGATCCAATCTGATGGCTAATAAATTTATTTCATTCAATAGTTTAAAACTTAATGCTCCTAGAATCAGAGGATCGGGGGTGGGGGGCCAGGGGAGGTTGTGAGAAGTAAACTCTAAAATCAGTCCTTGACTGAAAGTTCTTTAGTATGTCAGAGCATTTTGTTGGTAGCACAAGTTGACAATGCAACCCAAAGTACTTTCATGAGTAAATATGAGACCATCAGGACTGCAGTAAACCGAATGTAATTGCTGGATGGCAAGTAGGTCCTAGTGAGATTATGATAATATAAAATGTCAGTTTTACAACTAATAGAAGTGTTTAGAAGGTAGCAGCCTTCTATCCCTGATACAGCTCTATCTTTCTGATGAAAGGATATTTCTCCATTTATAATTCTACGCAGTCATACTACACATGGTGGATTTTTTAGGAAATAACAGTTCTGGAGAACTAATTGGCCTTTACTGCAAAAACACAGATTACCTGGCAGGATGATCATTCTGCCCTCAAGGAGAGAGCGTGCAGGGTGCTGTGCAGGGTATGGTCGGAAACACCTGTCAAACCCAGAAGGCCGGTGACACTCTGCCTTGTTGTCACCCTCAAAAAGCTTCGATTTCATTTTTGTTGTTGAAGAGTGGAGAACTCTTTATATGAAACAAAGCTCAATAAGAAAGCAATCAGAATTTGGTCTTATTTTAACTTTTATTAATGTAATAATAAAATACAGATTTTATAGTGCCTCATATATCTATTACAGTCTGTACACAGTATTTTATGCTCATGTCCACAAATTTTTATGTTATATGTAGCGGAAATTACATCAAAATCCTAATGAAGGATCTATATTGCTAACAGAAACCGATGTAACTCAACTACTTCTACATCACTTCAACTGTCCAAATAATTGGAAGTATCAGAGTATTTGGACTGATGGACATAAGTGAACACACTCATTGATTGAATTTTCCACTTTTCATCTCAGTACTTGATGACACGATATCTTAACCTGATTTTAAAATCCTCTATTTATTTTGTGCATAACTCAGGTTCTGGATTGACTTTACTTCTCAATAAGCATTTTTATAATGAGAATCAAAGCTTAATTTTTGAAAAGGAGGATCTTTTTTTTCTCATTCTGATCTAAAAGAATTCAGATTTTTCTATTTTGCTGCATGTAAAAGAAATATATTTACAGACCTATTCATATACATAAAACAGGGTGTGTCCTGTCCACTAACGTCCATGGATTTTAGAGAAACAAAATCATTAAATTGGAGCACCAAAGGTTGGGGGTGAGTTATAAGAGCAACAACAAAAAAAGTTAAAGATGAATTTTAAAATGCCGTAAATGAATTTCAATTTTAATTCCCCATTTTCCCATCCAGAACAAGTGCCACCAAGGACCAGTTTTCGAATGGATTCCTCTGGCAAGTATACCCACAGTCCTGTGAATGAAACGTCTTCCATCATGTGTAACAAATCATTCTTCTGAGTAGTATCAGCTTATTAGTATATAATCACTGTGCTAATTTGATTCACCCACATACGCACGTATTTAAGGTAGAGAGCAAGTCCCATCAAAGTGGGTCTACTTGGCTGCCAAGGAAACAAACAAAAGAGAAGGGAAGAGAGTCATACTCATTAATTACTTTCATAAAATGCTTTAGTAAAAGACTAGACTAAAAAAACCAGGTGCCAATGAAAGCCACCAGACTGACTAGGTCCATGATGCCTGATAGAGTAGCTTCTGGCCACATTAAGCTAGTGGGCAATAGAAATGTGGCTACTCTGAACTTAGATATGCTTAAGATGTATGTAAAATCCATATTGGATTTCCAAGACTTCATACAAAAAAGAAATAGAAATGTATATTATCTCACTAATTTTTTTATATTGATTAATGCTTAAATAATATTTTGGATATACCAGCTTGAAATCCATTATTAAAGTTGATTGCACCTGTTTCTTTTTGCTTTTTAAAATGGGCTGCTGGAAAATTTTAAATTACTTATGTAGCTTCCATTTTATTTATACTGGACCATGCTAGACTAGATAACTAGAAATAAGCTAGAGTATCTCAAGAGATTTGCAATTTAGATGTTTCCAAAGAACTTACTGGAAATTTTGCTAATGTGGGATGAAATGATTTTTACATCAACTAAATATCTATGTCAGTTTAATTGTTTTAAACCATGCCACTTACAAAATGCAACATTTCAATGGTATTTTAAGTGAGAATAGAATATCATAGTTCAAAAGCTTTCAGTAAGAATCAATTAATATACTTAAAAGGAAAAACATTTTTTTTTTTTTACCTAACGGTTCTGAAAATACTTACCAATTTTGGTTTAGGCTGAAATATTTAATGTTATTACGGAAATGAAGGAGGAAAAGGAAAATTCAGATTTTTTTTTACTTTTAGAAAGTGCTTTAAACAGCTACTTAGACCACTGGACTGAAAGCCAGGACACTGAAACAATTGCAGAAAAGCATGTTTCATAATAATAGTACTATTTCAGATCTGTGGGCTCACAGCACACATCTCTAGAGTGTTTCCATGATGACAGCTCATTATCCATCTCAGCATGTTCTAACACCCCTTGGAGAATATATGTGCTTGAGATCATTTCATTCTGTAAGTTGCCATGTCATTTTTTTTTTGGATATGTAGAAAATATGGAAGATACTGCTTCGCATTTTGTCCTCAAGTAAAGTATAAAGTATTTGTTTAGCTTGGCCTGAAAATTTTTAAACTATGACTATTCTTATACATTGACTGTAAAATCCTTGTAATTTTAAAAGATTATCTTAAGCCCAGAAGGAAAGTGAGACCTAGTAATTACAGTTGCAAAATGAAAGTAAGATTTAATTTGAGATTCTAAATCTCTATTTATTGGCCACAGTAAGCACATTTCTTGAAAATCTCAGCTTCTGAATAGACTTTATTTAAAAACAAAAAAAGCAAGAGAGGAACCACCTAATAGATATATATATCTCTGCACAATACTTCCGCATTTCAAAAAATATGCATTAGTTAAAAGAGGAAAGTTATAATAATGGTTTGCTTATATTATACCACTATGTAGTCCAGATCTTCAGGAAAAGAACCAATCCAAGTATTTGATTAAATGTCCACACAAGTATCAAACTATTCTGGAAAATCATGACTACCTCAAAAATAAATGGATCTCCCATGCTTCTTCTCACATTTATAAAAGGTCCTTTATCAAATTGTGTGTCATAATTTTTCACTCAGATACATTTATCATAATTATAAGGTATTTATTAGCTTTAGCTGCCTATGATGCTTAAGTACAGAGGCAAAACTGATAGTAGGAAGTCCTAAACAATGTAATTATGAAAAGAAGTGATAACTCTACCATAGAATAATGCTGTGGTTTATCAGGTGTACTAGATTGGTGAGTATCTTAATTAAATTCAAGAAACATTTATTTAGCAACTCCTACAGGCTGTGCATAATGGAGTACTACAGATGATAAGGATAATTATGCCATCATCGAGGAAGAATGATAGTGAGAAACAATACATCCGTAGCCGGGACCTTTGAATGGATAACTTCACCCCAAGCCAAGAGAGCCAGGGTGTGGATTATCACAGAAACCAAGAGTAGAAATCACTTCCAGGAGAACTTTCCTTGTTTAGAAACAAAAGACATCAGGGGGTCAGAAAGGGTGTGTCAACAATGTCAAGTGAGGCACAGAAATCAATCAGAATGTGGAAAGAGAAAGGGCTGTTTGATGTGGTCATTAGGATGTCATCAGTGACCTTAAAGGGAGTGCTTTCAGAAATGCTGCCACAGCAGAAGCCAGACTGGCAGGAGGAAGTCACAGAGGAGAGACTGGGGATGGGGAAGTAAAGGCCCCACTAGAGACTACTCATCCAAGACAGAAATGGGGAGCACGAGGGGGCATTTGGTATGGGGAAATCTGAGTTGATTTGAAGGCTGAGGGAGAAAACCCCACAGAGTGGGAGTTGGCTTCTATATAGCTAAAATGTGTCTGGCCACATTCATATTACCAAAGGTATAAAGGAAAAAAGTAAAGAGAAGGCATTCTTTTAAAGCAAAAATGTATTAGCTACCTATCTGGTAATATTAGATTCAAGGGATAGAAACTATTTAATTCCTACTTAACTCATTCTGTATCTGGACTGCTTTGAAAGTTCAGAGACCAGGGACCTATTTAATAACCACCTTTGATTTCCTGATTCCTTCCTCGATCTCTTTCCTAGATCTCTTTACAAGGAAAAGCCAAATAACTAATGCTCTTTCCAGCAGGAAAAATTGAATGAATTCGTTCTCTGTGCCAAACTGATAATCAGCCCATGGTACTTACATTTTAATTAAAACATGAAAGGGGATTCAAGTACCGAAATTTAATTGACATGTTTGCAGCATCCCATGTGCCAAATTAATCCATAAATGCCGTTCTTTGCATTTGTGAAGCTTGAATCCATTCATGAAATTAATCAGTTGTGTTCAGTTACCCACCCTTTTCCCTAAAACTGTGCACAAAGTCATGCCTTTCCAAATCTAGACCAAGGATACATTACAGCATGTGAAGCTTCTGGAGTCTTAGTGCAAAATAAGAAGCAGCTTTTGAAATTCTGCTTTTCTCTCTTATGAGGGAGGTTGTCCTTATACCTGGATATGGCCACCATTAGCTACTTTTAGTACTACTAGTTTTTCAATATTAGTGGGAGCCCAGGATAAATCAGGACTTACCCATTCTGGTAGTTTGCCACAGTGCTCATGGAAAGTCCCCATCTGGGACAGATGTCTTTAGATGATTTATTTCATAATGCCTCAGGATCCTGGGACCCAACTTCTAAAGAAGAAACAACAGTAGCCAGGAATGGCCATTGAACACACAAATCCAGAGTGTTCTGCCTCTCCTTAGTCCAAGCAATGCCTGAGAGTATCCCTGACAGTTCTGCAAAAAAGGCTGAGGAAAAGGAAGGTAAACAAAGATCGTGGAAAGAGAATAACCAAGAAAGCAGAAAACAAACAAAAAAAGGATGTTGGTGGGGGCCCGGTTGAGTGACATCAAAAGTGACTCAGGTCCCACTAGGTGTCCACCAGACTCCTTCATCAAACAGCCTTCCAGGTGCATGGTTAGCAAACCAACAGGGGTAAGAGGTGGTGATTGTTAAATTCTGTCACAGTGGGGTGAAGAATTGGCCCTTAGATTTCTTTGCCTTACGTTTGTGCATTAACGGGAAGAGACAAAGCGTGATCCGGTAATTTTCAGTGTGTCATCAGGCCAGGGCTCCTGGGTGGCTCAGAGGGTTAAGTGTCTGACTTCAGCTCAGATCAAGATCTCAGGGTCTTGGGATTGAGCCCCACAGGTCAGGCTCCCTGCTCAGTGGGGAATCTGCCTGTCGCTCTGCCCCTCCCCCCCCCCCCCCCCCGGCTTGTGCTGTCTCTCAAATAAATAAATAAAATCTCTAAAAATAATAAAAATAAATGTGTCATCAAGCCAGAAGAGCAGCTAAAGGAAAGTATCAGAAACATCATAAGCTTACAAGAGAGCTAACAAAGCAGGGGGGAAAAAAGAGTAATGTCTCTCAGCTTTGTGCATATAATTTTAGTTATTTTTTAAAACCCAGACTCAAAAGGATGGGGAGGGCAGAGGAAGAAACCAGAGAAAAATTATCCTTCTAAAAGCTCTTATTCCCACCCCACAAAAAAGTACTACTGCCTTAAGGCAAAATCTATCATTTAAACTTTTTTTTCCAGTGACTGTGTCTCTAAAGTTTCCATGCCCTGAAGCCTCTGAGTCTATGTTCAAAATTAACAAAGAAATTTTTTAAAACAATATGTGCTGGCATCCGTCTCCAATAGGTCTCTCTTTGCCTCTCTCGACTTGTTCACGTACCATGTAGCTAGTCATCTCTGCCTGGAAGAGTGGAGGGTGGAGATGACATGGTTGGCACATATCACCCTACCTTCGAAATCAGAGTGGCCAGAGCCTCGTCAGGAGATTGTAATGTCACCAGATTGCACACAAAGAATAAGAGGAGGAAGATAAATGTCCCACTCACAGCTGTTCTTCAAAGTCAAATAAAATTAACCAGCTAAAATCTATATTCTTTCTACTAAAAACAAGAGTCCTGAGTCATTCATTAGGGAAACACTTTCCAATTCCTCTGGGAATGACAGCATTTGCTGACACAAGACAACCCCCTTGTACTTCGGCACATCTCAAAATTCTGTTACTGGGATTCTCATAATTTCAGCATTCTCTTGGGGGAACGTTTTATTTAGCGAATAAAATGGACTGCAGAGTAAACTCCTTTTAGAGTTCCCCATGTAATATGGATTGCTGCTGAAGCCATTGGAAGAACAGTTTCCCACCTACCTTACTCACCAGTGATGCAAAAATGAGAATATTTATAGGAGTAGATGGGAAGTTCTGGTTATACATATGCTAGTGCTATCATTTTAAGTGTCAAAAATATATTATCTCTTTGTATTTTTTGTCTCTATGTGTTTTGTATATGGCCTAGAGTCCTCTAAGCTTAAAGTAACCTAGAGAAGAGATTGCTGTGAGCAGTAGAATCATAAACAACTTCTAACGATCTGTAAGTGGTTGGGCATTATCTGTCATCCTCCCATCTCCTCTTGCCTTTCCGCCTCCCCCGGAGGAGTACCTGTGCTTGCTGTGATATTATAGGGCTATTACATCTGCCTGGAGTCCCAAAGCCCCAGAGGAGCACACACTCCCAATGTGTGATTTCATACATGATGTCGTAGACCCCAGGAATAAACTGAGTTCAAAAGCCAATTGTGACTCATAGAGTATAGGGCAAAGTTTTCATCTTCCTTTTACCACCCAACTGAGTTCTCAGTTCTCATCTTTCAAATATGAACGATAATACAATTTATAAAGGATGACTAACGCATGTGGAAATCCAGTTGGTTAGTCTTCTCTGAGTTTTATATTAGTCGTTGAATGGAAAGGTCTTTGGTTTTATGTGCATCTGCTCATGAAAGGACATGACTGGTTATGGATTCTTGCACAATATATACATATATGCAAATGTACTTCTGTGCTTGACTCAGTTTTGTTTTGTCTTTTGAGAACAGCAACACATAATCAGCTTATGCCTACATTTCAGAAATGAATGAGTTGCCTTTTGTATATCACTGGGAATGCACAGCCCATATTGGAGGGCACCATGGTAAACCCAGTGTCATTGTGCCTTGTTTACTGGATCACTTCAGCAGCCCCACTTACTGTAGAGCCTGAGAAAGACTTGCCTGGCCAACATTCACTGAGTCTCTCTCCAACTATGACTAGTACCATATATCCAAATGGCTCAGACACATCTTCCTGTCCCAAGAGAATCATTCTCTGAGATCCCATCCCAATTTCCAAAACCATCCTGTGTAAGCAATTTAATATTGCTTCTATAAATTCTAATACCTCCTTTAAACCATGAAGGCCTAGGATCACTAAATTCTTCTTAAGCAAAGGATGGCATCAATAAGTATTTCCCAAATTTGCTAACATCCAATGGTATCCCAACAATGACCACGAAAGTATGCACAACTCAGTCCAGATGGAGACTTTACCCCCGTGAGAAGGATTCAAAGGTCCAGGGGTAATGCGTAAGCATAAATCACATTCTCCTTCAAAAGTCAAAAGAGGTCTTACACTTTTCATGTGTTTATCCTAGGATTGAAAACATTGACATCCAGGAGTCTTCCAGCTTATTTTTAACTACATTTCTGTTCTTTCAGCTAACTGCAGAGAAGTATCCCTCTTCTAGTTTATCTTGAATACACTAGTAAAATCAGTAGTGGCTTCCACATTATAAAATATTTGGGGAGATAAGAGTTCACTTACACCAGGCGAATTTCTACCCCTGAGTTATTAAAAACCTAAAGGAGTTTGTCTGAAAATAAAAACTTCACTCAAACTCCCAGTACAGAAAAGTTTCAATTCTATTTTTTTTCTAATTTTTACGATTCTAAAAAAGACAATTAGGCATAAATTTATATCTCCCCCCACCCTGCCTGACACACACGAAATGGGATGCATCAAGACATAAAGAGATATTTGTAAATTACTAGGCAGTACTCTACCAGGTAGTTCCAGGATGTCATCTCTTCTCTCATACTTTTGAAACAATGGTTCTAGTCAGAGTAAACATCCTCAAAGTAACAGCCAATCTTCTTGAGAGCAATCTGAATGCTCTCAGGAAAATAAAGAATTATAGAGGCATCGTTTTTTTGTTTTTTGTTATTTTTTTTTTTTGAGTCAGGAAATTTGTATGTTCTTTCTGCCTATGGTGTTACCCTAGTAATGCACTTGTTTGATCACTGTTAATCCAGAGACTACCTAATTTTGGAACTTTTTTTTTTTACCACCTTTTTTTTTATCCTCTCTGCTCTCCACCAACTCTAACAGCACTCTCATTAATCACATCCACAGAATTAATTTATCATTGATGTGTTTGGTTTCTCAGGGAGCGGGGAAGAGACAGGATTCATTACTCAATAGGATCTCCTTTATACCAGGTCCAGATTATAAGGAGCTGGATGTTCACCTTCGCAGGATGGAGTCTGGATTTGGCTTCAGAATCCTCGGGGGAGATGAGCCTGGGCAGCCTGTAAGTTGAAACCACTTTATTTCCACACTGTGGGCTATATACTGTGTGAGTGCATCAGGAGAAATATCATTCACTATGAATCTAAAAGGAAATCTTTGAAGGCTCAAAAAAAAAAAAGTTTGAGATTTGTGTTCTTGCTGTTTAAGTTCTCAAAACATGTCGGTGTTTCCATGCCAATATATCATCATAAATTAATGTACATACATTAAGAGGGGACACTACTCTTTCTCAGAATGGATTGAATTCCTCTTGAATAGTTCAATTACTTAATTGTATTGCACCCCTGGTCACTCTGGACAGTGATTCAAGGTAAACACATGGTATGACAGAAGATACACGTGAAGGGGTGATTTGGACCAGCAGAATTATGTACGTTTGCAATCAAAAGTACAAGGGAGAGAAAACACAGGGATAAACAGAAGTAAAATCAAGCTCAATGCTGCAGAATCTCAGCCAGACTCAAATTAAGGGATTACCATGAGAAGATGTTCACAAAGCGAACTTCAATTGGCACAATATTGAGAATTTGGGAAAGGCTCTGGAAAGATTAAAACTGCACGCGCGTGCACGCACACACCCGCACGCACACACCCCTCATTATACACCAGAGTCAAAGCATAAAATAATATACAGAAAACTCAACAAAGCTAGATTTATGCGCATGTATCAAAATACCAGCCATAAAATACTCATTGTAAAAGATGTGTCTTAAATGGTACCCAGTATGACTAAGTCAGGTCCATGGAAGGTTTGAATAAATGACACCCATTCCAGCTCAGGTGCCTTAATTCCATTCCAGCTCATGCAAGAGATTGAAGCTGTAAGCCTGTTTCCTCGTCTGTAAGATGAAAAACACAATAGTCCTCTCTCACAGAGAGAGAGCTTTAAGAATTAAAGATAGCATAGGCAAACCTCTTGGTATTGTGCCTGGGTCCTATCAGGTGTTGAGTGCATGTTTATCGTCATCATCTGTCTTGTTGGTCAGTTTTTCCAGAAAATAAAACCAGAACCAAAAGTGGGCAGAAATCTTCAGGAGAAAAAAGTTAGTCTAACAAATGAAAGGAATCTGTAAAAATGAAAACTGTCCCAAAGTGAAGTCCATTGCCTTGGTAGACAGTGAGCTCCTTCCCCACAGAAGTATTCAAGCGGAGCTGACGAGAACCTGACAGGAACCCCAGAGAGGTTCCTCGGCCCTTCGAGCGGAGTTGGACCAGATGATTGATGAGATCCCTAACTAGGAAGAATGTTGAGAAGCTGAGCTTAGACTCCAAGGATGAGGAAACTCCAAGAAAAAAGACTTATTTCCTAATTTGGGGGTAAAATTCAGCATCAGTCAACCACAATATCACTAATTCCCTAGCTGCCAGAGATGTGAAAGTGCCTTTACCATGGAGGTGCTCTGAATTTCCCAACTAGTGCTTTGGGAGGAAAGAGAGTGCTAAGGTAAAATATAGGGCACAAATAATTTGGGACTTATTTATCCAGAGACTAAATTAAGGATCTCTGTCACAAGCAGAAGGAACAAATCTCAGTTACATTTCACTCCCTTTCACAGACGTGTCCCCCTCTATCTGCCACCTGATTCTGAGTTTACCAGGGATCCTCGGTAACCTGGTCAGGAGGCAGCCTCACTCCTCTCTGTAACTTGTCTAGAAAGAACCAGAAATAGTATCCAGTTCCTTCACGTATGTAAACATTTAACCTCCGGCTTCCACAGAGTATCTGTCTGACTTAGTTTCCTTCAGGATCATTCTCTAACCTGTTCATATGTCTCCCTATTTAGTTTGAGCAGTGGGATTTAAAATTCCCCCTAAGCAGGGACTTCATCCTTCCCTTTTTATTCTCCGTCGGTGTCCCCATAAATGAATAGTGTGCCATCAGCCAAACTGGAGGTTAAGGTCACAGTCCTCCAGACTGCCAAGCCTGCCCCCATTCCTGACAATGGCTACAATGATTTTGCAAAGTCTGAGGGAAGAATCTGCCTCACTTCAGACACTAGCTGCAAATTTGGGGGTCCCATGGCCTCCTTCAGATTTGATAATTCACTAGAACAACTCCTAGAACTCAGGAAAGTGCCGTACTTATGATTACAGTTTTACACTGAAAGGGTACAAATCAGAACCAACCAAAAAAAAAAAAGGTCCATAGGACAAAGTTTGGAAGGGCTCTGCGTGCAAAGCTTCCATCATCCTCAGGGACGAGTTATCCGTCCTAGCATCGATGCCAACCAGGGATGCTCACCCAAGTATTGGTGTCCAGAGTTTTTCTTGGGGTCTTGTTATGTGAGTACGAGTGATTGAGTCATTGAGGTGGTTGAGCTCAATCTCCAGCCCCTCTCCTTCCCAGAGGTCAAGTTGATGTCATAAGGTTCAAAGGCACAACCCTCTAATTATATGGCTGGTCTTTCTTGTCTGGTCGGTGCCCACGCCCCACCCCCGCCCCCAAGACTGGGTGTGGCTGCTCCACCCTGAGTCATCTCCTTTAGCATAAACTACTGGTACCCACCATGAGTCTCCTCATTAGCATAAACTCTCAGGTGCAGTACAAGGGTCTCACGATGACCAAAGATACTCCTGTTCCAGTGGTCTAAAGGTTACATTTCAGGAAAAGCCAGACCTCTCTTTGGGCTCAGGCTAAATTCTTTATTGTACACCTATATGTTTAAAAGACACTAAGTGAAGGAAATAATGGCACTTTAAGGTGATTTTTATCACATTGTGGGGGATACTGAGACTTTTGTAGGGCATTTAAGGGTAAATTCATTAGAATCCATTATACTCGTACTAACATAATGCTTCAAACTTACCAACCTAAGGGATCTCCACCAGAAAGACGAGGTTCCTATTTGTTCCAGAATGCACTGACTGACATACTTTTTCCCCCCTACCAATCTGTGAGCTCCTTGAAGGCAAGGACCATGTTTTGATGGTGTTTGTATCTTCCAAGCCCAGCACAGAGCCCGACGTAATAGATATTTGCTAAACGGAACTGAAGAAAGAGTTCTCTTCACCAAGCCAAACTGTCACCTGAACCTCTCAGGAAAAAAAAAAAAAAAAAAGGAATAATCTGGAGTTTACATTTTCTGAGGCCCCTAGATGCTTTTACAGGCTCTGTAGAATTTAAATGGTGTCATCCTAGAATCAGGGATGGTGTCCTAGGAACCCTACAACATGCTTTGCTCAATCCAGTGTTTTAAAATTGTGCAATACCAACTAATTTCACATGTTTAAAATTCAGATTTCCTTATATATTCTCTTGAAAAATAGATCTAGCAACATTGGGCTTATTATCTTCCTCACTGACAATAACCAGCTGGAGCTAAGGGGTGGTCCCTTCTAAACTGAGCATGGCCACAGTTCCCAAGACCCCCTCATGCCTGTGTTATTCCTTTAGTCTACTGTCTTTGACACTCCCATCCAAGAGGACTGGACAAAAGATGAATATTTTGCACCAAAGGAATCTTCAACCAGGGCCAGATCATGCTTTTACAAGCCCTAAGCATATCATCAGGTTCCTTCCCTTATATGATAAGGACAAACAAGAGATTCATTTATTTATGAAATAAATGTAAAAGAAATAAAGTTCCAATTCTTCCCATGGTGCTTACTTCAGTACAGTCTTTGAAATGTGAAATTCTTATGTTGCTGGAACCCCTTTCCCCCATAGGCTCACGCTTTGTCGCTTTGGAGGTGAACTAGAACCACATTCAGGAAATACTGTCTTCACCAGTCTCTCCCTCCTCCCCCAAGGGTAGGAGGGACTGCATGACTGCTCACAGGGAAGGCGTGGTCTCAGCTGGCTCAAGAAGGGAGGGGTCTGGCTGATAATTTGCCTGGCACTGAAGCAGTAAAATTGTTGCCCAAATAGAGCACATATTACTCAAAATGAAGCTCGGGTGTGTGAATGTGGCCTCTGGACAGTTTTGCGCCTGGTCAGTCCACACGCTCCCAGGTTCCCAACCCTTCTGAACATTGACTTTGACTCCAGGGTCCTTTCTCCCTTGCAGTGGGCAGGCATCCAGTATCTATGATAAGCCTCCTCAGATTACGTGGATTGTTGGTTATCCCCGTTGTGTTTATTTAGATTTATTCTGGTTTATTCTTTCATTTGAATGATTTAAGACACACGCAGGCTGCAAGTTACAATTTTGACCCTTAGGCCATTGAAGTAGAAGGCTGAATCTTCCTAAAGCAAGCAGAGGCAGAGAGTAATGCCTTGAAGACCAGAAGGTTGCCCCTCAGAAAGACCATGTCAGAAAGAGAATCTACTGTAAAGATTTCCCATAAGCCTTTCCTTCCTGCTTTCCTCCATTGTGAGCCCAGAGATAATATATAAACAAAATGTGCTGACCTCATTTAATTGCTGATGTGCTACAAAGGGAGAGGCGCATGAGGTGACTTGGTCCCCAACCACAGGAGGTCTCATAAATTACATCAAACAGGTTTCTGCCTCCATATACACGAAATGGTACTGACATCTCAGGGTGCGCATTAAACACGACAACATAGCTTTCGGCAAATAATGAACAGCAGGACTCCAACTCCAACAAAGCATATGGGCATTTTTCCTGCAAGAGGAAATACTTTTCACAGTTAAATAACAATAGAAATAGAAAGAAATGAAAAATTGCCAGAAAGGAACAAAAATGGGATTTCCAGCTGTGAGCCAAAAAGAGATGGGAAGGCATCAAGGTGGAAAGATTTAGAAAACTGCTGCAATGGAGAAAAACTGTTGATAGAAAGAAGAGGTAATGATAGACAGACTCCTTGGTCAGGGAGTCTGTGCAAACTTGTGGAGAAGTTTCAGAAGGCAGGAGCCTGAAATGGGCTTGCCACATTGTCAGGTTGTCCCAGGATATAATTATTGCAGCTCAGACCTACCGGGGTTGGACTTGCATTAGGTAGAGCAGGAAAGGATTAAAAGAATTAAAAGGACTGCACATATGATTTTGGTTTTGTTTGTTTCTTACTTGTTTTCGTTTTCCTTTTTTTGTGTTAGCTTTTTCCCCTGGCTGACTAGGGTACCAGCCACTTGAATGCAAATTGCTATTATTTCATATCAAATACTCCGTTTTGTTCCATGCCCTCCCAGCCTGTAAGATAGAGTTGTGGAGTTGTGATTCTTTTGTTTTTTAGAGAAGGCCGTTGAAAAGCTAAGGCCATGGATCGGTTGTTCATGGGGTCAGGGGGCAGTCTTTTTAGAGCTATTTTGCCACAAAGTTCTTCCTTCAGGGCCAAAGCAGTAAGGACAAGGTAAAGAACTCCTCCAAGAGCGATGAGAAAACTGATGAGTGGGTCTACACAGGCTGAAGGATCCAGTGAGGCTAGAAAAGAGGGGTGTGTGGAGTGAGGACAGGGCTCCCACCACCTCAGCCACGTGACTAACACCCACCCACCACCCCGCCTTGCTCCCTTTTTTCCGTGGTGCATGCCTGCTAGCATACAACAGAACTTATTACACTTACTATTGTCTGACCACTAGACTAGGAGTTCTATAAGGGCAGGGATCTGTATTTATTGTTCACAGATGAATTCCTAACACCCAAAAGTGCCTGTGGGTTCAATTAATACTTGCTAAATCAATAAATTAATTAGTACTCATATCCCAGCAATGCGGCAGAAAAGCAGATGTTTTACTGGGATTTTCCTTTTAACGGGTGATATAGTTTAGGTGATGCTAAAACCGGTATCACCTAGTAACAAAGAAGATAACTTCAAGGGCATCTGTGTATCTTTGCTGTCTGCTTACAGCAAGGGAGGAATGGGAATTTTCCAATGTGAAATTTGGGGCCGGGGGTGGGAGGTTGGTGGGGTGTTTTTTTCTTCCCCCTAGGTGAAATTTCGTTTTTACTATTTTTGTAGAGGGCCGAATTGGAGCCATGGCTTTCTCAGGTGTGACCTATATCTTGGTTCATTTTTCTCAGTGAGAGTCAGAACTATAGCTTCAAGTTGATAATTAACCAGCCAAGAAGCTCACGTGCCATTTTCTTCTCTGTAACTAGCTGTAAAGTGTCTCACTAAAACACATAGGAAATCTAAAGTTCGAAGCATTTTGGGGGACTAACCCAGCTAAATACAGCTTTTCACGGGGCAGTGGAGAAACATAAACATTCACTTTAACTGGCTTTCGCGCAAAGCACTTAGCAAATCTTTGAAGGCTCCTTAGCGGGTTCAGTCTTTTGAAGAATAGACTGGAACATCTTTAGAAAGAAACTCATAAATTCAGGTTGGCATGACAGTAAGAGAAAGGGAGAATGTCAGAAGCAACCATGCCCAGCTGCTGGCCTGTAGGAAATGGGTGAGGAACGTTGCAGGGGAAGAACCTCACCGTACCCTGAGGTTTTCCTTGTGACGGCAATAATGAATCCCTCCTCAGAGCACCAATATTCAGTGCAGAAGCAAGTCTATCCCCAGCCCGCCCCCAGGAATAGGGAAGAAGTAGCTGTAGTCATAGAGAATTGTCATTCCTATGGATAAAGAAAGCTGTTCAGTGGACCAAGGCTAGGAAGTCTTCAGGAAAAGAGAACACTCTTCAGCCTCTGATTTTGCGTATACCCAAGACATCCTGGGCATTCACGTCAGGTTGCCATGTTGACAGGCCACACCAAGCAGTGTGACCACGTAAGAATGAGTCTGTTGTCACGCCTGAGACACACAGCCTGCGGTCACGATGGGGCAGCTCTGCAAAAAAGCTGGGATCCACGGATCCAGGGTTTGAAAGAAATCATTGTGCCTGAAAGAAATCCATCTGTGAGCAAGGGATCCTTTTATAAAGACTTAGAACTTAGACGATAGCTTCTGTAATATGATCAGGCTAAGGGGTTACGACTGCCTACGGATGCTGTATGGCTAAGCCACTTGGCAAAAGAAATAGGATATCCATTGCCCATGTGTTGGAAAAATCGTAGGTTAAACGGTGCAACTAAAATATTTAGTGCTGTTGTTTTTTCTCCGAGAAGGAAAAAAAAAAAAAAAAAGCCTCGTTATTGGACACTAACCTGAGTGTTTCTAGTGGGAAGTGGGAAATCTTATATTATGTCTTTCGTGACAGTCCCTGGCTCAGGGTAATTCCCATGCACACATTTCCCAGATATGTTCCTCCTCATTTCTTGGTGTGAGGAAGCAGAAGCATTTCAGGGGACAGGCAAAACTGGGAATGTCCTTTACACAGGGGACAGTGCTCCAAGGAAATATTCAAAGGAATAGAGCAAAAACCGGGAGGAGGTTTGACTGAAACTTTTTTTAAGTCACCTGGCCAGAGAAGCCAACTGTGAGTTTTACTTTGTTTTATTTTATTTTCCCCTTACCTCCAGCCTTGCAAAGCAAAAAAAAAAAAAAAAAAAAAAATTGAACCATTATCAGTTTCATAATATGCAGCAGCTAGTTTCCCCTGACATTTTTTGAGCACTCAGTATGCGCCATGAGCAAAGTTAAATGCTTTACATGCATTATTTCATTCAGTTCTCCCAACAAGTCCATAAAGCAGCTCCCACTACTTGATTTCCCCATTTTGCAGATGAAGAAACTGAGGCTCGCGGAGGTTAAGACTTGCCCAAGTCCACACAAACAAGAAGTGGAGCCAGGATTCAGTCCCCAGTTCGTTACATGCACAGTGGCCAATAACATCAGAGTACTTGGGGTTAGAATTTTCCTTAAGGGTGATAACTGGTGCACCAGGAAGCAAGTGTCCCCCAGACCTCGTGGCCATCAGCAGCGAGTTCAAAACGTTTACTTCTCTGAAAGGAGTTAACAACCTGGAAGAGTGGGAAAGGCCCCTCGTTTTTCATTTTTCTAGTACATGCTCAGGTTTGGAGTAAGGGGTAGAATGTGGGAATAAAACCTTCCACCAAGGTGTACATACATATAAAGAAATTATATGTATATATGATATTATTGTCTAGAATTATATTTATATATAAGGAAGTTATATATAAATATTATTATCCATGACTATATTTACATAAAGAAATTATGTATGTGTGTGGGGGGGAAAGTTGAAATGTAAATATCCTTTCCTTCTCACGCTTCCCTAGATTTTGATTGGCGCTGTTATCGCCATGGGTTCAGCCGACAGAGACGGCCGCCTGCACCCAGGAGACGAGCTTGTCTATGTCGACGGGATTCCGGTGGCTGGCAAGACCCACCGCTATGTCATCGACCTGATGCACCATGCAGCCCGAAATGGGCAGGTCAACCTCACTGTGAGAAGGAAGATGCTCTGTGGAGGTGTGTGGCTCAAGCCAGCAGGGAGGCTTGGGGGTCAGGTGGTGAAATGCTTTTGTGGGACATGGTAAGGACACTTGAAACAAAATTTTAAATCAGTTTCTATATTAAACAAGGACAAAAGTCAGCCTAGATCTTCCACATGTAACCGTGATTTTGAAAATGCAGATTTTCACCCCGCTATAATTCCAAGCAGTCTCTCAGCCCTACATTTTCCGTGCAGTCATTAAAAATTTCTAGCAGAGCCTGGGGCTAATTTAAGTTGTGTATGCTCTTTGCTCTTTGGTGGATGCTGGTTGTAAGAGGAACATTACGGTAGCGGAAAATACAGCTTTGGAAAATGTTCCTCATTGTGTTTACAAACCAAGAACCACAGCATTTCGGTACCATCATAAGGCAACTAAGATGGAAAATTAGCCTCCATTGTAGAGTCTGATAAAAGGTAACAGTAAAACCATTACAAAAATACAGCTCTACGTCACTCTGAGAAAACACAATTCATTTAACTCCAAACTTATGAAACCCGTAAATTAGAAGTAATTATGCCCTTTACAGCTATTCCCTAACATCATAAAAGAATCCACCAAAGATTTCACTTTTAAAAGTCTGTCTTCACAGTCATAATACGATTCCACCATCTCATCCCCCCCCCCAAAAGGTTTGTATTTTTATGAATATGTCTGTTACAAAAATCGACTATTTTTCACAATCTAAGCCCTCAGTAACGTTGGCGGTAGGGTCCCAAACTGCCTGCACTTTGCCCTGCGAATTACAGGAGGAAAGCACCAATGATGTTCTGTCACCTGCCGCCCTCATGGCCCTTGGCCTCTCTGCTCAGTCCCCTGGCTCTCCTCAGACAGATTAGGAGGGACCTCGGCGTCAGGAGCTCCCTCGTGTTACAGATAAGGAAACCGAGGCCCAGAGGTTGGCTAGCTTGCCCGGGAGTCTGCAGTGAGTCAGTGATAATGCAGAGGCTCTTGGCTTCAGCCAGTGCTTCTTGCCGTATCCCACCTTCGGGCCCCCTCCCAGGGAATTCAAAGACGTGAGACCAACCATTAGCAAATGTCACTCCCTAACCTAAGTAGTCCTCCGTATGTGTTATTGTTACAAGGCATCTGAATCAAAAAACGGGGGCTGGGGAGGTGGCACTTGCTAATCACAGGCTGTGAATGACTAGGGAAGATAAGGCTTGTTAATCGACCTGCAAACTGTTTTCTATTCAAGTCTTCTAGAAACTAGACTTTGATCAAGGGCAATCATTTAAAAGGGCAAGTCAGAATTGTCAGCCCTCACCAATAGAGACGCTTTGTATCTTGTGCCATTCACCTTCAGAAATTCATGGCATACCAAAGAAGTAAAACACCTTGAATTATGCCTCATCCTTGGGCGAGCTGCCAGGAGGAAGACAGTGTTGGCTTGGTTAACATTTAACTGTCTCTCTCCCTAAGAGTGATTTTTAATAAAAAGTTTGCTGTGCTATATGTTCTGTAACCCAAAGATAAATTAAAAAGATACCTGATTTACAAGGAAATATACTGCAAGGTGCAAAACCAATGCACCAACATAATTTCATGCTCCCTTTGCCACCAGCTGATTATTGCAAATTAAATTTTGTTTTAATCAACCCAAGCTATTGGAGTGTATGCCAAATGCTGCAAAAATGTATTCTTGCAATTTGTGGATCATGTGACTTTCGTGAAGATGCTCTTTGCTGCATTTCTTACCGACTTTACTCATTTAGGCTTTCGAGTGCATTTCAAGTGCATTTCATTTTTGAAAATGTTCAGCTGCAGACCGCTTGTTCACACTAGGAGAGTTTCCAAGTTAATTCAGCTCACTCTTCCTTGAAAGCTTCATCAGTATTGCAAATGATTAAGTTCAGGAAAGGATACTTTGATAGTAAAGTAAATGCCTAGAAATAGGATGGAACAGATTTTTTAAAGGCATAGGAAGGCAGCTTTTCTTCATAGCTGCTGTTTCTCCAACAGCGAGAAGGGACAGCCACAAATGGATGTGACAGTGAAGATGCCTTTTCAAGGGCTGTTATTATTATTATGCTTTCCCAAGCAAAGACAGTGGGACGTGTGAGCCTGGCTTACAATGAGATGGTTCAAAGCTGAAGGAAGCAAGCAATCAGCTTGTGAAGAGACAGAAGAGGGGTGAGAAGAGAGACAGAGTTGCCGCCTCCTCGAACAAAGGAGCGGTATCAGGAGCTGGAAAGAAGGGGGTCATAGAGGTTAAAGCCTTCAGCCTCATGCTTGCCTCAGCTTGTACAAACGTCCTGTCCCTCCTCAGAAGGCACCAGGCACCGGCTTCCAAGTAACGCTCAAGAGAGAACCACTCAATCTATTAGGAGAGATACCGCCTGGCTAGTTACATTGGGCAAAAATTAAAGTAACACAAAAGCCTTCTGCAAATATTAAAATATTTTAAAAGTGTACTCACTAAAGATGGAAAGGCAAAGTTTTCAATGAGGCAATGACAAGGTAGATCCTCAAAAAGGAGAAACTGTGAAGTAAAGGAAGGAAACATCCAATAATGCATCCAATTTTATTTACCAGATAAGTACAGCACAGATCTTGCACTTTAAACTAGTTGTTAGGGACGCCTGGGTGGCTCAGTTAGTTAACCGGCTGCCTTCATGATCCCGGGGTCCTGGGATCGAGCCCCGTGTCGGGCTCCCTGCTCAGCAGGGAGTTGGCTTCTCCCTCTCCCCCTGCCTCTCTCCCCATTCTTGTTCTCTCTCTCTCACACTCTCTCGCTCCCAAATAAATAAGCTTTTAAAAATTTTTAAAAATTTTAAAAATCAACTAGTTTTGGGAGATGTCTTATCCATACCACCAGCTCCAGTGTTTAGCCATTTTCCCCCCAAGGATGGTAGAAGAGTGGCTTTAATTATAACACTGAAGTATAAATATTTCTATGTTTAGTAGCTCAGCTTTGAGACGTTCAACCTAATGACACATTATTTGGAATACACACTATTCGTCTGAGAGAAGGGTGTCTCTGAGGAATTTCCTAATGTGTCAATCTAGAATTGATGTGAAAGAACATTTTATGACTTAATCAAAACACGTTAGAGTCCCTCCTAAAGCTATCCATCAGTACTTTTCTCTCACATCTAAGGGAAAGTCTGACTCTTGGCTTAGTGCCAAGAAAGAGAAAGTTTTCTTGTCAGCTGGCTGAAAAGTTTAGCCATTGTTTAGGGTGCCAGTGGATTCCCTGGTCCTGGTTACTACACTTTTTGTCAATTCTAAACACGTTCCCTCTTCTTTGTCTGTGAGCATGTCATCCATTTAAATAAGTTGTCTGCTTTGAGGAGTCTAGACCAGGAGTGCACACACTCAAATGCCTTGCAGGCAGGCCAGCCTCTGGCTTTGGCGGGGCCGCAGCCTGTGGGCTGCCCCCTGCTCCATCAGGCCCCGTGAGGATGCACATTGCATGTGGACACTCCAGCCGGGGCCAGCATGCCCCATGGACTCAGCCACGCTTCGAGACAAGACATCTCCAGTGCTGTCATGCTTCTGGGGTACAGCCCTGAGAAGGGGCCCAGGAATACCCTGGAAGCAGGCAGGCTGTGTTTGCTGCAGTAGAACCCTGGAGTCCTGGTAGCCAGCATGTGATCTGGAAGGGAAGCAAGGGCTCTGGTTGAACAAGTCCCTTTGGCCCTGCCATCCTCCTCGCTCTACTGGTAAATGAGTAAGTCAGGAATTTGTAGGTGACACGGGGTGGTTGGCACCGTGGTGGCTTGCAAACTCAAACTCGGTAAAGGGAGTAGCCACTGCCCAGCTCTGGCTGAGAACTGCGAGGTATTTCAAGAGAAACTGGAAATCCATATTTCTGTAAGATCTCCCTTTTTAAAAACATTGGCAATCAGTTTTAACAATTATTAGACAAAGTATAGCCCAGCACTGGACACAAATCACGGATGGGTCTGCGGGCCAGGAGCAGCCCCCGGCCAGTGGCGGACTATTCTCGTGGAAACCATCGCACCTGGATGGCATCACCAACAACGCTTGTCTTCCCAAACAGAGACCTCTGCCGGTCAGCTCAGGGATGACTTCCAGTCTGACTGGTGAGGACAAAACAGAAGCTCAAACTAAAACTGAATTATTTGGCTTAAGTAGATACTAATGGCCCGAATTCTATACATCCATTTGTGTGAGAGACAGAAGGATGGGTCAGGGATGCTGGAAGGTAGTGAATTAAAAAAAAAAAAATGCACGTGGTATTTAGTCACTTTGTGACGTTCACTGTATTCTTCTAAAACAACGCTGTTCGTACACTACCCCAGAAAGGGTCGTTGGCAAGAAGACAGTCACATTTGGATCTAGAGCCCGCTGAGTAGAAAAATAACTGCGGAATCAATTCTATCCCTCAAAACGGCCCATTGGACATCTTCTTAACTCCCTGGTTTCAAATGTGCTCGTATTGTTAAAGATGAAGAACTTTGTTCTAGAGGTTGAAAGACGAGTCCAAAAGCAATAGAATGGTATTCTGTTAATGTTTGGGACTCTTCCCCTTCCTCGGGGACCATTCACGTTGATTAGTCGATGGCGTTCTTTCTCCCTCTAGAACCCGCAGCAGAGCCACTCCCAGCCACTCGCTGCAGAGACGGATCATTTTCCTTTGTTGCTGCTTGGTGACTGGCACAATGCTCAACCCCTGAAATATGACAGCCAGAGAAAGAGATCTCTCTTGTCACTGCCTATGACACCTAGTTACCGATTTGGTCCCATACCTCAGGGAGATTTTCAATTTAATGTTGCAGCCTAATAATTGTTTGTTTTTCTTCCTCCCGACTATCTCTAATCACTTTATTTCCAACTTGCGCAAGGACTGATAAAGGACACGTGCTTCACCAAGGCAATAACAGCTTGTCTTTGGATGATGTTTTCTCGTGGGGAGGGTACATTTTACAGGCAGTTCTAAATTCTGGTAGGAAAGAGGGAAAGGCTTTGACATTGGCATTTTGTTCTTTTCTCACCTCAGTACAATTCTTACAGATGAAAAGCATCCATTTGTTTTCTTTAATTAAAACCTGATTAATTGGGCGCCTGGGTGGCTCAGTTGGTTAAGCGACTGCCTTCGGCTCAGGTCATGATCCTGGAGTCTCGGGATCGAGTCCCCATCGGGCTCCCTGCTCAGCAGGGGGTCTGCTTCCCCCTCTGCCCTCTTCCCTCTCGTGCTCTCTGTCTCTCATTCTCTCTCTCTCAAATAGATAAATAAAATCTTTAAAAAAAAAAAACCTGATTAATTAAATCTTACAGAAAAAATTCAGATTTATCAAATGATAATAAGCAGCAGCCTGGGTCTTATTCTGCTATTACAAACAGGAAATGAATACATTTTTGTAAGATGATTTTTTAATCTGAGTATATGAATAAATGCAGCTCCTTTTTCTTTACATATCAGTAGAACAACAACAACAAAAATCTCTTGTAGTCTGTGTTCTTTCTCCCCAATTTTTGAAACGATTTTTGATTTTTGAAATTTGATTTTTCATTTCAGAATGGAATTGCAGCTTATCAAGTTGAGAGCCTTCACTGGAACTTTTGCTAATTATTTTTAACTTGCCTTATGAGACCCCTACCAGAGCTCTAAATAGAAGACCATATCTAGAGACCCAAAAAGGAATCATTAATTGTGGTTACTTTCCTTCTTACTATTTCTCTGTTCCATAAACATCTTTTGAGCACACTAATCAAATTGTAAGATGAGATGAAACAGTCCTATTGCTAATTACAGTATTCTGGGTGCCCGCTTCAGTTCTTTTAATCAGAATACCAAAACCTAGGTATTAAATTAAAATGACAAAATTCTTTCTCAATGACAGATGAACTTTCATTTTTAAAAAGCAGCTTCTCTTGGCTGCCAGCTTTCTATCATTTCTCCCTGTAAATAAGCTTGTTTTCTCATGGAAGTATTGGTTTGGTTTATCTGGCTGATAATGTTTTGTAATAATGTAGAATATAAATGAGCAATGCCACCCATACCTCTCTCAGAAATTCAAAATGCATCGTCCCTTGGCCTGACATCATTGTTAGATTTAATCCTAGAGTGAGTGAATAGAGGAAGGATCCTTTAAGAAAGATGTTTTCCACCTACACAGAGTGAATTATCACTTCTAGGCTAAAAGAATATTGCAAAATTAAATAAAACTGTGATTCTTTAGTAAAATTATGATAAGTCTCTTTATATGGACATCCTGGGCTGTTACCCCTCCAGCAGCATTGCTCAGTGGTGCCCTAGAAAGAAACCTCACTGGGCTTCTCTCTCCTGTGCCCAGTCTTCCTAAACCTACTGAATACACTTTCCACACATGGACCCTGAAGATGCACAGTTTTTACAAGTTCTTTAAGTAATTCTTGTGCACAATGCAGTTTAAGATACTGTCCACCTGTTTTGTAATCTTTGATCAGTTATTATTATGCAGCTACGAAGCTCAATATCTAGGGGCTCCTGGGTGCCTCAGTCGGTTCAGCGTTTGACTCTTGGTTTTGGTTCAGGTGGTGATTTCAGGGTCAGGTCGTGAGATTGAGCCCCGTGTGGGGCTCCCTGCTCAGTGGGGAGTCTGCTTCCCCTCTCCCTCTCCCTCTGCCCCTCCCCCACCTCTCTCTCTCTCTCAAATGAATAAATATATCTGGGAAAAAAAAAAAGCTCATTATCTAAAACCAGGCATTGTCCTGGGCAGGGGGTAGGGGTGGGGGTTGCAGATTTAACAAGAGGAAGCTACAAACTAGTAGCAGCACAGAGGAAGCTGATGAGGGGTTAGCTGTGTTTGCTGTGAAGAATGGAATGGGGCTTGGACCTGGGTGCTCCGTAGCTGGGTCTGTAGCCTTCCAAACGCTCTGCGCTCGTGGGGACTAGAAGCCAGTCAGCCAGTCTTAGAATGATGCCAATGTCTAGAACTGCACCTAGTACACAGAGGCACTCATCAAGACCCTTGTTAAATAACCGAGTGCCCGGGTACGCTGTGTATTGCAGGGGAGCCCTGCCCAGAGAACGGGAGGAGTCCAGGCTCTGTGTCAACCCACCACAGCTCCCCACGCAGTGACTACGCCACCTACACCAACAGCAACCACGCTGCCCCCAGTAGCAATGCCTCTCCACCTGAAGGCTTCGCCTCCCACAGCCTGCAGACCAGCGATGTGGTCATTCACCGCAAAGAGAACGAAGGCTTCGGCTTTGTCATCATCAGCTCCCTGAACAGACCTGAGTCCGGATCCACTATCAGTAAGTGATGGTTGTGCTTGCCTTTCAGTAAGAGGGCTTGTGCTCATTTTGTCCTGGTGGTGGGGAGACTGGACATGCAGATCGGAGGACTGTTGTAGGCATCTTGGGGAGCCAGAAGCTTCTGGGCTGTGGGCACAAATAAGACATCCTTCACATAGGATTAGCCAAACGTTGCTGAACCTTTGGCTCAAGAAGAATGCAAGATCACATCTAAAGTCCCCCTGACCCCACAGCCCCCATAAAACTCTTTGTTCCTATTTCAGTGGGAAGGAAATAAAACTGAGTAGTGTGAGAGTGTTGGTGTGAGGGGAGAGGAGCCCCTTCCTGCTTGATAGGATGAAACCAGATATGCAAAGGATCTGGGGGGAAAGCAGTCCAGGAAGGAGTTCAGCATTCAAGAACTGTACAGAAGCCCAGTGTGGCTATGATAGAATGGACATGAGAGAGCAGCCTGCGACTAAGACAGAGAACTAGGCAGGAGCCAGGCTGCACAGGGCTTCACACGCCCATGGGAAGAAGTCTGGACTATAGTCTAAGTCCATGGGAACCACGGAGGGGGTTAGGCAATGGACAGAAATCCGACTTATATTTTTTAAGTCTGCTCTTGTACAAAATGAAATCAGGGGGAAGAGAGCAAGAGTGGAAGCATGAGACAGAATCAGGAGCTCATGAAAACAGCCCTGTGGGTGCAGAGATCCTGGAACCTTCTCCCAGGGTGATAGCAGTGGATGGGGGGACGTACAGGACTTCACCTAGGGCTCCTCCAAATCTGGGAGTCTGTACAACAGGTAACAGTCAGAGGTTGTAGTTCTCTTGCAGTCGGTCATCTTGTAGACCCTCAGTCTTCCTTGGTGGTTTTCCTTTCAGCAACACTATTGCAGAAGTTACTTGGCTGCCAGCAGATGGTAGGACAGAAAAGGCAATAGGAAAACTTGCTCGTTTTTCATGTTGAAGTGATTTAGCCCAAAATATTATGGATAGAAACACCAAAATAGAGAGCATCGAGACCAAAAAATAATTGAGTCATGTTGTGGTCCTAAAATTCTTATAAACTGTGGTTGTTTCCAGCACGTGGGGTAAGGCGGGGGGGCTTGTCAAACAATACTCAAGAAGCCAAATCATTGAGAATGAATAAAAATTTTTTATGATACAGTTAATGTTCTCAAAACACCGCCAGGATTGAATGGAAAGAATGACCCTGTTTCGCTTTACCTTTGACAAACTTGAGTGAAAACTATAGAAGTGTTGAACCTCAGTGAGTATGTGCAGAAATGAAAGTACATACATCTGAAAGTACAATTTCATTTCTCTTCTCCTGCATGATAAGATGAAGAAATAAATCCAATCTTTAAGCACAGAGTAAAAGCAGGATTCTGTCAGTACGATAGATTCAACAAGATTAAAAGGACATAAGACTAAAGATTTTCATAAATTATATAAACAGCCTTCCAATAATTTATACTTAGGGAAAATATTCACAGAGAGCTTTTGTAGCTATTCCACTCAAGCAAATTGTTTACTGGGGCAGGATACCTAAAGGACCGGAATAAAAATAAAAAGTAGACCACCACAAGGAAAGTGTTCAACATGTATTTAAGGTCTCAGATGTCTTTGAAGTGTGATTGCATTATTGCTAAATGCATAGAGAATTGTGTGTGTGTGTGTGCGCGCGCACGCGCCTGCACACACATGCACTTATCACACAGAGAAGCCGCAGATGCTTTTTCTATTGCAAATAAAATCCATGCACAGGTAGAGCTGGAAAACAACAGGTGCAAATGCTTACAATTAATGTGAATTTTTCTTCCTACCAAGTGACATTAGACTGACCTCAAAAGAATAATTCTAGCCATTTTCCAAATGGTATTATTTTACATCACCCTGGAGAGTAGAAATATATTCATGATGTTTCCTGGCTTCTTTTTTCACATATTTATTTCTTTTCAATTTAAGGATTCAAAACGCAGGTTGCCCCCATGTTCTGTGGGAAGAGCAGTTATTATAATGATGGCCTGTAGCGTTTACAATATATAATTTGCAGCACGCACCTAAAAGCTTTCTGGGCCTGATGCTGTTGCATACTTAAGTTCTGTTATAATTTTGAGCTCTAAATTTTGAAGAGAAAGGCTAAGTACCTCATGAATGGTAAAGAGCCATCCTCATGTCACATACCCATCGTCAGAATATCAAGGGTCCTTGATTCTCTGAGACCGGAGAGCGTGATACCATCAGGTACTCGGGAGTCACAGTCATTCCTGGGTCTTGGGTCATCTTTCTCTTCCTGTCTTACCTGAGCCCAAGGACCACAAACATGGTGGTTTTTCTCATGGCTACTGAGCCTTTCATTGGCGGACAGAGCACTGTTACGCCTTTGAGAGGCGAACTGGCTAAAATCATACTGCCTGGCTTCATCATCTCCTACCTGTGTGACCTCGAGGAAGTTACATGACTCTTTGGGCCTCAGTTTCCTTGGCTGTAAAGACAAGATAATATTACTATCTACGTCGAGGGGTTGCTCGGAGGGTTAAATGAATGAGTACGTGGAAGTGCTCGGAACAGCTCTGACTCAGAGAAGCGCTCAGTATGTCACTGTTGCTGTCCAGACCAGCGTTATCTTTCCATTCCATCAGCTGCCGCTTCTCGGATAGAGCAGAGCTCACACTGGCTGTCTCCTCTGTCAGGCCTGAGTCAGAGCCCCCACTCTCCCGGAGCAGCACATGAAGGGCCATCTCCCCATCCCACGTGCTGACCTTCTGGCAGCACAGTCTGCCCCGCCCGCCGCCCCCCTGCAGCCTGGGTCGGGGGTGAGGGGCTAGAGCCGTGGCAGACACACCAGTCCATCTAAGTGTGCGTGTCTTTGCTGAGGCTTCAGGCTAGACGTCTCCCCAGAATTCACTAGCCAATAAACCAGAAAAACCACCGGAAACATCCAAATTCAGGCCCGAAGCTGTGCCTTTTAGAATCTCCTACAAATAATATGTCTCCATGGACTGTATCAGAGAAGACAGGAGAGATGGAGAACCCAAGTGTAAATTTCACCACCCTGAAGGTGAAAAAAAGAATTATTTTCCAGAGCTTCCTCAGTCCAGGAGAAAACTTTGCCAGGGATGCCAGATGTTCAACCAGTTGAGAACGTGGGAGGTGGGGTTTCTGGCTTATTTATTACCTGGCATTTAGTCCGGCTCATTACCAAGCCTCACATCTTTTTTTCAAAATATTATTTCCCAAAAAATTAAGAAGAAATTTCCTTTATATTTGTTAATGTAATTAAGGAACACACTGCTTCCTTCCAAAGCCAGTGACCCAGGAGGCCAAATAATGCTTGGGAGCAGACAGAACTTAGAAGCCTCCGTCTGAGGAGCAGGAATATCCTTCCTGAATTAAAGTGGGAATAAGCAAGTTTCCTGAGCATTTTTGTCCCATTGTCCAAAATATTAAGTCTTTTTTTCAGACGTTAAAATTAGATCCAGGGTGGGGCGCCTGGGTGGCTCACTCCGTTAAGCATCCAACTCTTGACTGTAGCTCAGGTCATGATCTCAGGGTCCTGGGATCAAGCCCCACGTCAGGCTCTGCGCTCAGCACGAAATCTGCTTGTCCTTCTTCCTCTGCTCCTCCCCCGCTCTCTCTCTGTCTCTCTGTCTCTCTGTCTCAAATAAATAAATACAATCTTAAAAAAAAAATTAGATCCAAGGGAAAACAAAGTTGTTTGCAGACCAGAGCCTAGGATAAGAGTAGCAGGCAACTGAATTTTAAATTCTTAAAAAGATTCTAACGAAGGTTTGTAGACAGAGATGTCCGTTGCCATATTATTGATTAACATATTATACTGGAAACAACCTTAGAAGCGTCTCAAAAACTGGAAATTTGATATATTTGGGGAGTTCAAGGCATTTCCTGCCTTTGACGAACTCTCTTGTCACGGAGGTCTGGGTACACCAGGTAGAGAAGACTCAGGTAACTTTCTGCCTCCGCATAGAGCAGAAGCTTGCGCTGTAAAGATGTCCCCGTGGCCACACGCAGTGGGGTTGACCAGGTTGATCTTTTGGCCACCCCAGCTCAAGGCTGAGCCCTAACATCCAGGTTTTATTGCGGAGCTATAACCTGTCCTCGGGGGTGCTTGCTGCTGCCCCCACCCGCCCCAAACCCACAGTCCCCCCAGAGGGCCCCAGGAAGGGCTTTGGCACGAATGATGAAATAAAAGTAACCGTCAGTCTCCTGGTTTTCCGTGGGCAGAGGTGGGCAGCTTGTGGAAGGAATCTGTAAACTGAGCTGCAGGCCCATTCCAAGCTGCAAGGGAGGGCATGTTCAGGGACAGCGGCTGCAGCAACAATGGAAGCTGTCCCGCAGGGGCACCATCTTCCCCGCCCTTCCTGCCTGCCTTCCTGTTGTCTTAACAGCCTCGACTCTGGTTTCTGTGGCGCGGGGCTGGGGCCTCAGGAGCTACAGAATCAGGGGCTGAGCCTTTCTGGAGGAGGGGGAGTGTGAAGCGGGCACCAGATAGTGGGGTGCATGAGAAAGGAGGTGAGATGAGCAGATGGAGACTGATGATGGGGGGAGGGTTTGGTGATCATTCTGGGGGTGGGGGGTGCTCTTACCTGTCCCAAAGTGCCAGGTCATAGGCAGGCACTGTTGCAGGCTAAGTGGCTAGTGAGGGCTGGGGCCCTCAGGGAACCCCCCTCCCCCAGCAGGCCAGCGTCCCCATCCTAGGAAGGAGCCCCTTCCCACACATCCCCCTGGCCATTGACCTTACTTTGTACATCAGAAGGCTCTGCACACCATTCAAGCCACTCTTGGCTTACAGAGGAGTCAAAAGAAAAAGAAAAAAAAGCACACTGCTGGCTCACAAACAGTCCTTCAGCTCCGCGCTGGTGCTCAACCTCTCTGTTTCCGCGGGTGCGCTTTCTCTGACACAGCTTGGAACACAGACTTGGTCATTGTTAACTTTCCCTCAGGCCCACTGTAATCCGACATTCTAGAACAAGTTAGTTAGCTTCGGTAAA